CTCATTTACTTTACCCTGTCCTCCCTTTAGGATCAACACTGTCAATTATTTTTTACGGTTCACAGTACTATAACTATTGTGTCCAAACCGTCATTCCGGGTAAAGTTTTCAGGTCACCACCATTTGAGAAATCGAAACGCGAATTTCTGGATGGTCCATTGGGGTGAGTGAAGATATATTGAAGTTATTTATCGCATGTTTAATTTGTGATGACATCAATGTATTAAGTACGGAGACATGTAGAGTTCTGTTAAAAAAATAGGTAAGTGCATTACTTCTTATTATTCATTACGTTTGACCACACAACTTCGACTCCGTACCTCTGTAACCTCTCGCACGTCTTAAACAAGGTCATAAAATGCACATAAACAAGGATCTTTTCCCACTTACCCTAATATCGTTAAGCATGTGATCACGTCAGTAAGTTAACATGATTTAATTTCTTGTACTTCAATATTAAGTGTACTTATTGCGGATGGTTCGTTAGACGTATAGAGTTGACAAATTTTAGTGATTCAAAGAATAAGATTGAGTAAAAGTGCCATATAAATGGGTTGAACGATATGATATGATATGATATCCAGCTTCATTCCGATCGTGTAAGATGCTGAAATAATATAATGATAATGTAACAAACACATCAGAGTTGCATCCATACTTCATTTTTTTTTAATCATCAATCATGCTCATGACATAATTTCCTCTAATACCTTTTACATTCAACCATCGACAAAAGAAGATGAAAATAGTTTTGATATATTGGATGCAATACGTACTATTGTGGCCTAGACCCAACCTACTACCACTGGGAAGTAGGATTTGAGGTGTGCCCATCATTTTGCTAGATGACTAGGTGTTGTAGGATAGGAAGGCTCATTGGTAGGAGTTTTGTGCACAGGAACATGTTCCTGCTTGGGTTTGCATGAAGCTTGTGCATCGGGGAAATCGTCGAATGAAATGATGCTCACCTGCTCGACTTTGTTGGCACATGAGATGCAAGGAGGCAAAGAATATAAAGCATGCACCAATCCCACCGCGCGCACACAAGCCCATCCCCTTGACGGACCCATTTGGATTTGGATTGTAGTTGAGCGCTCGGATGCAGGCCTAGAAGAGCAGATATGAAATTCACAGCTGGATGCCCAACTGCTATTGCATGAACCGCGATCAACATTTGGCGACAAGCGGTTATAGAGAGGAAAAATATCCAACTTATCGACTACGATGTCCACAAGTACAGAGGCCGGAGACAAAGCCCGAGATCGAGTGTAGCGCTGTAATCTTCTACCGAAAACGAGGTGGACAATGGGACAAAAGAGATTTTGTGGAACTTTGTGCTGCTGTTATGTTGAAGAACTTCACGTGCACATGTATGATCTTGTCCTCCGTGAGTAGGAGTTAGAATCTTCAGGAGAACAGACAAGGCCTATTTAAGGTGTTCAATTGCATGTTCCCAACATCTCCCCAGGTTTTGGGCAATGTCACGTTATTGATAGAAAAATAGAGATTGAATCGTTTAATAAAATAATGGGCGCTAAATCTTTGCTTGGTCTGCACTCCATCCTTACGTGCTCATGACAGGAATGAGTGAGAAAGAGAGCAGAGAGTGGACTCATTCTCTCTGCTTTGTCTTTTTCACGTACACTTTCGCCACACAATGACACACCCTCACAAACTCCCCTCTCCACTTTTCGCCAAAGCTCACTTTACAGAAAAAGCAATAAATGTGTTGGAAATGTGCTCTTTCGCTTTTCCGAACTTTCAAAGTGCCAAAGTCTTCGTGTAAATCTAGATAAGGTGAACGGACCCGCCTCCTTCACCCCTTCCTTAACTGTGGATCGACAGGAACCTAAGCCCCCAACGAGTGTTTCTTCATCAACATCATCATGGGTTGAATAACTCCCTCGGTCGGATCCCCAGTTTCTTCCCTCCCTCCTTCCCCTTATTTAATCTTCGGTTTTAGAGCTAGCCTCGTCCATCCATGTTAATTTCTGCCCTCCGGAATCACTGTCCAGGTGCAGCCCCTGAATTTGCAATCCAGCTCTCTCTGTTCACACTAAACGCTCACACCTCTGTTTACGCAGAAATGCAAGCCTCACCAAAATACACGAGGCCAGGCGCAGATCGCAGATTATCGCTATAACTTCGGTTCGCCCGTTACTCCAGATAACATCGCATCGCATGCAGCTCGCTGAACGCAAGTGCACCAATCATGCACTCGTAAAACACAACCCCGCTAATCACTCGAGGCCGGGGGCGCAATCTGGGACAAGAAAATGAATTGAATGACCTCGAGGAGGAAGACCAGGCAAGCATGAATCGGAGTCCAGGGTCAGGGTCGGGGTCGGTTCCAGAGGGTGCTTTCTCCTTGCGAGGGTCAAATCCCTCCGTGAGGGAGGCCGGCCGCTCCCTCCCTCCCGAGAGGCGCTGCAGCGCTCGGGGAAAGTCGACGGTACTCGTCTCTCTTTTCTCCTTCCTTTGTACCTGTGTACCTAAGAAGGAGCGAGCGGCAGTACCACTGTACTTCCACTCCGCTCTCCCCCCGGCCCTCAAATCGGTTCTCCCAGGAGCACTTTTTCCAAGATAACGTTCTCGGAATATTGTACTCTATTTGCCAAACTCATTAATATTCTCATAATGATGGAGTTTGTGTACCCGGCGGATTCCCAGGATTTTCACAAGAAATTCAGCGCTCAAGAATCGAAGCTAAAGGGGGGGGGGGGGGGGGGAGGGGTGTGTGTTAGGTTATAGTGGCCGAAAGGGGTTTCGCCCTTTTTTCGGGATTGGGGTATTTTCGGGCGCAAAGTTCGCGGTCGGGTTGAGGCCGGCAGGAGGGAGGGAAAAGGAGAACGCAAAAGCAGATTCGGGAGAACAGTAATTTCTCCAGGTTACCGAGGCGCGGTGACATCGGGGTGAGAGGGGACTGGACGGGACCGGGCCGGACCCGTTATCTTACGTTATCTTACGCATAAAATAAAATAATTAACCGTTCTTTGGCTGAGGAGTGCAATGCAGAGGTTCGTGTTACCAAATTCGATGACACCTACCCATGCCTGCCGTTGGTTGTGAGTACGTACATCGGCATCCGACCATCCTTTCCTGCCGGCGAATCATGCCGGCGGCGGCAGGCGCTCGCCGTTGCGTACAATGGCCAAACAGCTCCGCGTCTCCGCTCACGATCCTGCGGGCGTTGGCGATAGGGCACCCCTTTTGTGGGCACCCCCGCTTTTGTCGATCGGATCGATGCTCGGACCCGGTCTCGCTCACCGGCCCGTGATGGGTGCGGCCCTCCGCTCCAATTGCGCGTTGATGCTTGAAATTTCCTGCCCATCCCGACCCGACCCGCGTTCTGCCCCCAGCTTTTTCTCGGCTACGTGGCGTGGACCGGGCTGCGGCCAAGTGGTCACTGGCGGCGTCGACGACTTATGGCTGGACTGTAACGTGGCGGGGACTGTGGTTGCCCCCTTCGGACCACTGTAGTAGGCCCTGCGCTGTACTCAAACGGAAACTGACTTCATTCTCTGCCATTTGCAGACCACGTTCTTCTTCTTCTTCTTCCGTTCCACTGCGTCGTCGTCGTCTTCTTCTTCTTCTTCGTGTCCTCGTTTCTTCCCCGACTGGTTGCTTGCGGTGCAAATGTATTTGACTTTTGTGCCCATGGGAGGGAACCAACCCTTGGGCATGTCCAGCCGCTTTTTCTTCTGATCTTTCTCCTTGTTCCGTTCTCCCTTTCTCTTTAAGGAATGTCCAGACGCTTTTCCAGTGCTTTGCCACTGCGAAATATCAACAGTATGAACTGTTCTACACATGAGGGAGGATTCGTTTACTGGACCCCTATATAGTATTTAGTACCAAGATGGAAGATGGTTGTTCCTTTTCTACTCAAGCTTAATAACTATGCAATGGAGAATTTCTATTTTTAATTGTGGTGTTCTCTACTCAAGACTGAAATTTATTTCCTTCGCATACACATATAGGCTCTTGACTGTTAGTAGAATTCATAAGACTTTTGATGAGGGATTTCATGCATTTGTGCTTTCTTTCACTTTTCTCCTACTTTTCATTATGATTTGAATATTTCAGGATATAAACTAGAATTAATAAATATATGTTTCAAAACGAAATCCGAAACTTTTTGTTTACATACGTAAATTGGCCGGAAATATCTAGTTACAGATGATAACTATTTTCGTGCAATACAACTTTAAATACAATTATTCACTATCTATAAGCCTCATGATTATACTTGGAATTTTAATCTTTTGCACTTTCAAATTTTTTTACTGATTCTATTCTAGTCGAATTACCAGACGATCATTTTCTTTTTTTTCCCATTAAATAATTAATTCTTAGGCTAAATATAAAGGTGTGCTATTGTAAATATCATAAAGGTTGTCAATAAGTGACAGAAATTTTTTAATTTTATCCTATTTATTGATGTTCGATCATGAAAAATTTATATAAGATTGTTGGCAGTAGATTGTTTTGATAAATTGAAAATCAATATTATTCAAATAATCATAATACTTCATCAAGTATGAAGATGTATAAGATGATATGAAAGTAGTAAGTTTAAATTTTATCAAATTGTAAATGATGAGTTTTCAAAATAAAAATATTGAACATCATTTCAATGACACAAGATTTACACATAAAAAGTTGAATCAGAATGACCTAAGTGTTATGTGATAAATTGAATATACTCGCTCAATTATCTAATTTTTTTTTTGTCATTCAAGTGATGAGTGCAAGATTAAATTGAAACATCAATAATTTTATCCACGTTATGTAAAACTTTTTAAAATATTTATTTTAAAACAATTATTATAATATATCAATTCAAAATTTAACTTTTGTTTACTAAAATTGGATGAAATTATTCTGGTTTATTGGCATGTATAGTTTAAATTCATTCATCATCTGGACTTCAGTTTAAATAAGTCCTTTATCTTTATGTATAGGTTTGAACAGATGAGGTTTTTCTTTTTGTACAGTATTTCCTGTATGTATAAATACCATTCTAACCATATGAAAATTATTCTTCAAACAATTCGAGAAGATAATCAAATTGCAGAAACAGTTGGTCTTCTCAGGTCACGGTGAAATTCCCCTCGCGCAGGACGGAAAACGTGTCTTCGAGAACGGCCGTAACCCATAGAAACGTATTATAATTCGCCAATAATTCGAATGATCGGTTTCCGATGTGCAGATAGGAAAAGTGGGCTGGAAAACGACGCTTTATCGGGAGGAAAAAAACGCGATATAAATGGAGAGAAGATCGAGGGGGGCAAAGAAAATATCTAAAAAAAGGAAGGAGGACCGGGGGGTGCAGAATCATGGCAAGAGACCGGAGACGGAGAGGATGAGGAGGAGGGCCAGGGCACGGACCCGGTTGGCGCTGAGGACCACAGGGTGCCGGTCAAGTCAAAGGGGGTGGCTCGGAGGGCCACGCCATAGGCCCAGCCGGAGGAGTGCATCGTAAGATTTGGGTTGGGTTTGGTTGGGCAGCCGGTCGCAGGATATGGTCGCCTATGCTGCAGTCATGTCATGGCCATGGCCCTCGACTGCCTTCTCGCCTTTCTACTCTTCCACCGTGTCTGTCAACCGTTCATCTTCTGCGGCTAACGGAAATCACGAGCGCATCTGCGAATGCATGTCGATTCCCCGTGTCCATGTTCGTCTTAGATTTCTCGCACGAAACAGCATCGATTCCCCCATCGATCCATCGATCGATCGACCGAACAAACTCCGATGCGATGCTCCCCGCGTTCTCGATAAAGCGTTCGCCGGCGCCGACGACGACGACGAGCGACGACTATCGAGCCCGCCGCGAATGAAACCGAGTCGCGGTTGGGGATTCCCATCGAATTGTGGAGGGAGACCTTCGGGGCTGACTAACCCGAGTCGCACCCGCACCCGATTCGAGCACCGATGCGATGTCCGATCGCGTCACCGGCGAGCGCAGATGTGCCTTGATCACGGGGCGTTGCGATTGATTGATTTATGGCGCCTCCCGGCGGTGATGAGCATTCTGTCAGCGAGAATAGAAAACTCGCTTTCCCTCGTTGGCATTGGGGCTCATAAATACATGCATAGCCTTTGGCCAGCTCGGACCTCCCCCTCGCCCTCCCCCACTGCCTCGCCTCTGCCTTGTCCTCATCCTCGTCCTCGTCCTCCTGGATCCCATCCTCCATGCAACCCTCTCACCAACATTGTTGTGCGGCCAGGGGATTGGGAGCAAGGCAGGCGCGGCGAGAATAATCCGATTAATGTTTTTCTGCGCTTTGCCGTCCGAGGGCGAAATTCCCCTCGGACATGCAGCAGCACCAGCAGCAGTGGGGCTAGGGCCGGGGGTTGGAGGAAGGGGGAAGGGGGTGCGCTCGCTCGCTCGCGCTATATTTGTAGGTTCGTTGACCGAGTCTGATAACTAATACGTTACATATAGTACGTTCGCAGGGGCTTGCTTGATTCCGCGCACCTCCAGCTCACAAACACTGTTGTGTTGTTCCTTGTTGCCGATTGCGTTGCTGCTGCTGCTGCTCCTGCTGCAGCAACAGCAGCAGCAGCAGCACATGAAAGAAATCCATGCCTCACCGTTATGCAGCACCAAAACGCATTTCGTCAAAGCTAGCGGATAACAAGATACGTTACGCTCGTACTTTGATCGCCGGCCATGGTCGTCGACCTATCGGACGTCACCACCTCACATTTCCCTAGGACCCCCTCCCTTCACCCCCCCTTCCACCCCCCACAAGCCCAGCTCGCCCTCTCTCCTCCGTCCCACAGCCGAAGGGAGTGGACCTTGGGAACTCCCATTCGAGTGGAACCTTGCTCGCCATGCCTGGCCATGCCTGGCCTTGCCTTGCCTTGCGTTGCCTCAGCGTTATGGAGCACGGAGGTGCGACAAGGGGTGGGGTTGAGGGGGACGAGCGAATGGAGACGAGAGAGCTTAGTGAACCTTCGGCACACGTAAGTTTGGTGGTATGCCGGTCTACGAGAGCCAAACTATACGTTACATGCTAAGCTCGAGTCTTGGAGGCGTGGATGGTACTGAGAGACTACAGTGCGCTGGAAACCAACTGGAACATGTGGGACGGCGCAGAATTATTGAACCACCGTTACAGAGAGAGAGAGCTCGCTCGCAAATCAGCCTAAACGTGAACGCCCGGAAGCCTTGAATTGAATTGAATTGAACTGAACTGCATTGCATTGTCGTCGTGTGCGTGGGCCGGCCGTGTACTACTGTACTCATTTTTGCCGGATGAACTCGCTCACACCAACTCACAACTCTCACCCAGTAATGCCTTCCGTGGATTACCGAGCATAATCTCTGCTTAATCACAGTCCATTGTTTTTGTTAAACCCCTTCATTCCCTCATTGATTCATTAGCACACTTGGATCGAAGACTTCGAATGTTTGTCCCGACTTTAGATGCAACCCCTAGCATAAGGACGCGGGAATCACAAAACTCACGAGCTGAGATGTTTGGGGGAATGAGGACTTTTCACTTCCTTCTCTCTCGTGAATCTGCGAACACCAACCATCATTGGAAGCAGCGACAAGTTGCCGTGGTTTTGACCACCAGAATCATGAGAGAATGTACGGAGCTCCGAGTGCGATGCATCCGGGCCTTCCTTCTTCTTACATGCGAGTCCTCCCTGGAGAGGACAGCTCTTCTTTCTCGACGACGGATTGATTGGGCTCTTAATCCGCCCAACCTTAACCCGTCCACATCAAAGCTAATGTTGCAGTACGGTGCGCCAACTGAGTCAGTCAAGGTCAATTTCTACCGCGAGCGTTGCTCGGATCACGGGGGTTGAAGTTGAAGCTCTTAACTCCCACATGCGGAGATGTGTGCTCATTGCCGAACGCGAGCAGAAGTCCGCTTGCAAGCGCTTGTCGGCGGTGGCAACCATTAAGGTCCTGCTGCATGATCCTCTCTCTCTCCTCGCTTCATAGTACCGGTACTGGAATCGGGTCAAAGCTGTGCATGAACTTGAGCTTTGACTAAACCTTGGGATTCACAACCCCGGGTTCATCTTGTGCCGAGTGAATGAATGGATGCAAGGCTCACCGTTACGCAATAAAAAGCAGCCATGGCAAACGTGAATGCTGATCGCCATGTAGTCTGGGACTGGACTGCACTGCACTGGGACTGCGACTGTAGAAAGACAAGTGAAGAAAGACCCACTGACACTCTGCATAGACCGGTGCCGTTCTGTCTGCTCGTCGATTCAATGAGCAAGCTCGACAACTTCTGCAGCACCCATGGGTGCTGCAGAAGTTTGATGCTGCTGCTGCTGGTGGAAAATTCCACATGTCGTTATGGACACAAGTGGATATGCCACATTTTCCTTGGCCATGTGTAAGCTAGTCTTGAGGATAATATGAATTCCGAGCTGTCCGAGTTACCTTCGTGCAGTAGAGGACAACATCTGGGAACTCGAATGGGTTCTGAGATTGTGTGGTTAACTAAGAATCACCGTTACCGCTCGAAGCATGTGGAGTTAGAAAGCAATGATCACCGTTACAAAACTCTGCATCCGTAGGCAGGCAACGTGCAATGGTGTGAACGATGCTGCGGTGTCAGTCATAAGTGTCTTCCAAGGTACTTCATCAGATTGAGCAAGCAAAGACTAGGACAGGACTCGGGTCCGACCGAAGACCGACTGTCACCATGACGGACGAGCTCCAAGACTTCCAGTTTGCCTTCTTCGCTTAAATGCTCGGGACTGTACGACGAGCACTGTGTAGATGCTTCGACAGACTCGGCAAGCAAGACTGTCAAGCACATGAGCTCAGATTTGATCCGTTTGGGGTTCGGCATTAGTATATTTTCTTCGAGTCGTACGACCTTTACCGTGTTCATACGGCCATGCACCATCTCCGAGCACCGGAAGTGCGAGCGAGTTCAATGATCGTCGTTGTTTGGTGGAGTATGTATGGGGTTGAAGGATAGCGCAGATCTGTGCCTCACAGATTATGTGCATGCCCCATGTTCTTCTCACAGCAACCTTTCTTTGACTGTAACCGCACCTCCTACACGGGAGAGCCCAAAGAAGTTTGACTGGCATGCAATTTCCTCCGTGTGCTAACAGGGTGCGACAATGCTCCGGCAGATCTTTTGAGCTAGTCAACAAGCGTCACGCGCTTGGATGGATAACGTATTATTTTCCTCTCCATGGCACAAGCTGGGCACAAGGCCTGGATTGGTCCAATGGCAGATTGATTGGGACTGGATGCCCAGGAATGGACTCCAGAGTAGACTATCTTGGAGTTCAGAGTCACGCTTCACTCAACCATGGCACACAGTGGAAAACTATATTCAAATGCGTCTTCCTTCCAGGATGAAGCAATGTCCAGAGGTCGTGGAAAATTCTCATTCCTGTCGTTTTTGAGGCCATTTTACCCATCATGCTGCTGCATGTTCTATGCAAGGAGCAGATGGGATGCAAAGTGGAAAGTTCTACACATTCTTTTTAGTCCTAGTGTGCAGCACTTTTCCGATTCAATGGTGTTTCCACTCTTTGAAAATCCTGATGGATAACGTTACAGTTTTCTTACTTCTTTGAGCCTTCTGCAAGGTGCATCATTCCTGGTGATTGCAACCATGTCGTTGCTTGCATCTTTTCTCACTGAGCATGTTCGTAAAACTTTCATGTCCAGGACCTCCCTCCTTGGCCAGATTCTCCCAATGATTCGTCACATTCCCTTGCCATTCACTTTTGGCCTCGCCGGTATCACACGAGATGGATAAGGGTACAGGATTCCTTCTTTTCTTGACATCCAACATTGTGCACGATTCATGACACGGCCAGTTGACGAGAGAAAGATTTCGGTGGACTCATCCCTGTACAAAAAGCACCACAGGGCCAAAGATGTGGTTGAAATTTTCTGTCTGGAGAAACTCATGAACCTGGACCTCGAACGTCATGCTAGTCTTCTTCTGACTCCGATGGACACCAAACTTGGTGGTGCGTCCATTTCGGCATAGGCTATCGTAACATGGAAATGAGCTCTGCCCTGCATGCTTACGGAAACCCTGAGGCTGGCTGGCCCATCGATCGTGGAGACGTACCCGTACTTGTTAGTCTTTGACATGTCTCGCAGCCTCTGATGTATCCTACCCCGGATCCTCAAATGAAATGACAGTATTCCTGCATGCACATTTCGCTCAAGGGGCTGCATCATTCCTGCTGATGACGGAAACACATGGAACTCATTGATTGCTTCCATTTGCCTTGAGGCGGGAATGAATGCTTGCATTTGGATTTTGGTCTCGAAGAATGGAAACGAAAGCGATCGCGATGTTAATGTGCATGTGAATTTGAGTGGCCATGTCAGTGGTTTGTCATATTGCGGTCATATTCATTCTTGCAGGCTGGTGCGCTGGGTCGGTCAAGTGATGATCTCGTCATCGCTGCATGTAGTACATAGTGAACAGGGTCACGGTGGTGGTGGTGGTGGTGCATCATTCCTGCATACACTGAACAGATATTAGAAGAACATGCGAGTGTAATGGAATGCACATCTGCATGTCTCGTTCTTGCTGCTCCCCTCGCATGCTCAACAGTTGCACATGTACTTTATACTTTATTCTCCGACCTGTCGAGATGGAGATGCAGATGGAAATGGAGACCGTGTGGTCTCCTCTCAACACCTAGCATCCAACATGGTGCAACATCTGCGGATGTTGCAGCTGCAGCAGCACGGAATACACCACAACAACAGAAGATGACCACAAATTGTTGAAAACTTAGGCTGATGCAGAAATGAGGGTCACATCCCTGCATAGCAAACTACCTCCTGCCTTCTGCTCGGTGATGACGATTAATGGGCCAGCATCCATACGTTTATGTGCATGCATCCAAAATCGGATACAGCAATTGGAGCTGATATTGAAATTAGCACCATTCTCACTAAACTGCGATCAGTGCCACTTCGGCACTAAGTGCAGCTCAATAGTACAGTATGAAATGGTTCATTTGGGATGCAATATTGAAAGTTGAGTTTTGGAGAGTGTGTCTGCACTGGAGTCTTCGTAAAACATTGGATTTGGTTAGACAATAATATGTATAAGTGTCATTGTGGACCTTTTCAGAGCATAGAGGATTGATTACTGGGGCGATTGTGGTACACTCTTGTTTAGAGATAAGTGTTTTAAGATGTTTAGTGTGAGAACGATGTCTAGAGAGATAAGAGTATCCACTTGCTGATGCTATGATTAGCTGAGGTACTAGCGCATGACTCGACCCAGTGACTTTAGAGATCGTGAGATAAGACGGCCTCTCGATAAGCCAATGGACTATACTAACCTGGACGTAGATGATGTGGGTCTACGTGGATTATCATTATTAGGAGATCGAAGCAGCAAATCGAAGCGTGGTTTTGTGTACCTACTCGAATCTTTTTGATCTGTTCACTCTCAATTGTTCTCTAGAGCTTCCTTACACACGGAGCGCCTCATGACGACCCCTCATAAAATCTACGGTGACATGTATGTATTCTGTCTCGAAAAGGCATGTCCTTGGTAGCTCGGTCCGTCGTCTGACACTCGTACTTCTCCTCCAATAATCCAAACCCTGTAGAACCAATCTCTGCAGTTCGACCATTGTCAACAATAACTGTCCCAAAAGAACTATATGCGATAAGAGTGGAGTGTGCAAAAACATCCGCTAACTTTTTCGTCAAGTTACAGACGATACGCACACTCACTCGCACTCAAGCCAGCCTCCTCGAGTTTGGCAAATCTTATTATTCGCCATTCACTGTTGGATCAGAACTCAAGAGTCATGGTTCCTACGGAGAAGAGAGAGCAAGACATGACTCAATGATTGTGGCTCTCACTGCCCTTGTGAGAACATTGAATAAAAAAATAATCCACACACTTTGACTGTGCACAGTCCCTTTAATGTCTGAGGAAATGGAACTTTTGACGAATGACTTTTCCACTTTTTGGACACGTACACATTCTCCACTGTTGCTGTGCCGAAGGGTGAGACTGATGATCCTGCAAGGACGCTATGTGTAAATTAATCCTCCATGAACGCGGGGAGAGGCTCCTCGCTCAGAACATCTGAGCTAGAATAAGATGTGGAGGAGCAATTCGTGTGAAACACCTGTAACTACAGCACTTTGTCGTTAAATCATGTGATTTTAAGGCGCTGAGGATTATTTTAGTCCACCACTTGGATGAAGTGTGGCTGTGCAACAGACTCTGATTGATCGAAGCTGCAGTGAAGTTCACACACCACTACTGTATTGTTCACATTGTCATCGACAGTCAAATTAGATTCAGACCCTTCGAAGCCTTTCATTCGTTCCGTCGTTCGGGTCAGGGAGCACACGGGCCTCCAGTGCTCTCTGTACAGATGATTCTGCAGGGACAAGTTCGTGTTTCAAGTGCCACTCGTGACTCAGAACTGTCTTCCCATGTTCGGTAGAATCTTTGCCATGCAGTCCTGCTGTTCGGGTTCATCAGTTGGTTCCAAGGTTTGAACGAAATTTCGTTGAGCTGGTAACAAACTAACTATCCCGGTTGTCACCTACACCTCACTGTCGCACTTCTGAGTGGTGGACACTCATGGTCCTGCCAACTGATTGTTCCTCAGAGGACGAGACTCTTAAAAGATTGCAACTCGTGCTGCTGCTGCTGCTGCAGATGAATTTCGTGTCTTCGGTTCCTTGAAATTTCATATATGGGGACATTTTCCCTCCGATTAAATTTTGTGCACAGTTTATGAAACCAACTCATTTCTTGGAGGCAGATTCAAGCATGCAAAATGTATCAGATTAAATCTCAGAGAGGCCCAATTGTCCGAAGGCCCACTCAGCACATGATCGAGAACCCACCAGCTGAAGGAAGATCCACATATGGAAAGTGCTGCGCTCGGTGGTTCAAATTAGTTGAGCATGAGGGTGAGAATCGTGCCGGATCTCTAACGCTCAACGCATGATCGACACTGAGCGAAAGGGATCTGGTCGCAAAATTATAATGGTTGTCATATGAATGTCTTCCTCGAGCTCCGACGACAGTGCTCGGGCCGTGAAGTGGAGCATTAACGCCATCTGGATCCAAAAACGCTGCTCTGTTCTGTGCAGCAGCCGACATGGTCATTCAATGGACGAAGACTCATGTGACAGCAACAAATATATCTTACGAGTCGAATAGTGCCCGCCTTCGGCCTTACCTTGCCACCGGACAGATGCCGATGGAAGGGCATGCAAAATTTAATAGCAAAATGTCGCGCAAGAATCCGAAATCAATCAATCAATCAATCGGATCGTTCGAGTCTAGAGGCGGCGAGATTCACACCGACCGACCGCACTGTTTTCAGACCCGCAGCCTGAGCTGGGCACGCTGAGAAGAAAACGCTCATCGAGCGCTTCAAGGCACTCACTCACTCACTGACTGACTAAATCGCTCAGTAGCTCACTCACTCAGTTGTTCACTCATGGAGAAGGTGCTGTCACGCCAGCAGGCACTATTGCATTCATCAGGACGGAAATGGAAAACTATTGCGAAAGTTTGTCCGACCTTCTCTCGGTCGACGACCAATTATACACTCCGAGCCATATTCGCAGATCGCGCCTGCCTGCCTGCCTAACAAGTCAGCTCACATATTCTCTCGAGAATCTGCCTTCTGCTTCGGTCCTTGAGCCAGAGAGAAACGAGATGCTCACCAGTTGTGGCGCGACTGTACAACTGTAACGAATCCTTGGCGCAAGAGCATTTCTGCTGCTCGGTGTGTCGAAGAAGGAGGAGGAGGCCTTTCCCTCAATGAAGGGACACCTTCCCCTCGCCTCGCCTCGCCTCCGACAGGCGGGTGGCAAAGGGAGGAAGGAAGGAAGGAGGTTCGTGCTTCTCGTATGTGGCGAGATTGAGGTGCGGACATCTTTCACTCTTTGCATGTTGTCAGGTGTACGAGTTAATGCGAGGAACCGCTTGGCGCTGAATATTCCTCTTATACCCTCGGCCGCAGCATCCCTCTCGACTCGCTCCGAGTGCCGCTACTGGTAAGCGGCTGCTCGATGTCAGCACTAATGATTCCTCGGCATTTCTCTACGACCAGCATCACCTCTCCAATCATTCACGTGAATCAACAGTCTCATTATCGAGAATCTTATGACGAGATTTCCCGTCAGATTCTTTATCATCTGGACCTGCCTACCGGAACTTCGCCATCGCCACGACCCTCCTCCTCGATGATTATTCAGACTCCCCTCCCCACTCGACAGCGTCTGATCTCCAGCTGTAAACTGCAGAATCGCAGAGTCATCGATGGCCCATTATATTACTTGCAAACAATGCACCGAGTCTTGAGCAGCGTGACTAGCGGGTCCTGAAATTTCAGACTCATTCCTGGCCCTTGATAGAACCTTCGGTTCAGCTCTTTGCGCCATCCTCAATTCATCAAACTCTCCATTGTAATGTATCAGCTCTGCTTCTTCCAGCGCATCTCGTATTTCAAGCCACGAATTTCAGAATACCGTATCCCTTAGAAGTAGTCTCGAGATTTTTCGTCTGACTTTAGTGAATCATTCTGTCCACGTTACAAATTTCGCAACCAGCTCTAGAGCAGTCGATAATTGCTATAGTTCAGATCAGACTCAACCTCGTCTGCAAGCTTTCGAGATACTCCGTACGTACCTCAACTGCAATCCTCCAGTGGCTCGCTTCAATCATAACCTAAATTTCCAACCGTGGTTTGAAATTTTTGGAATTCATTGTACAAAATGATCGTCAATACTGAACACCAGTGCAATTCAATTCAATTTCAGTCTTCTAGAGACCGTCTTCTTGTTCTTTTATTTTTCATTTGGCTGCTGATCAGATTTGAATGTATCAGAGAATTGTTGGCAATCTAAACCCATTGAGTGTTAGAGTAAGAGACTGTTCCCAGATTTGTCGAACTTGACGGCACTGCACACGAAATTCAATTCCTGGCTCACTCGGGTTCATTGCTAATCATTGTCCGAGTTTCTATGCAAAAGTCGAATATATTGTGGTTCCAGACGAACACCATCCATGCATCTAATCGAGCAACTAATCGATTAGACTTCTCCATTCACTCGTCTAGCACTTCTCATGACGAAACATGATGACACCATTCCCCTAAGATATGTGAGATGTAAAGGTACACATGCGATTTCAAAACTCCACATTAAACTATACCAAGTAGAAATAAGAAAGCAACCAATCTGAGTACTAAAATATTCGAGGTCTTGCTACATTTTGGACTTGGAATTCTAATTTCAACCTCATGCAACTCATGAATGCAAAACTCCACATTAAACTATACCAAGTAGAAATAAGAAAGCAACCAATCTGAGTACTAAAATATTCGAGGTCTTGCTATATTTTGGACTTGGAGTTCTAATTTCAACCTCATGCAACTCATGATTGCAAGTGATCATGGCTAGCACATCTTACAATCTGGCATGCGCAGGCTAAAATAACTGCCAGGTAATGAACATGGTGCACTTTTGTACCGACATAATATTATCTTAAAATGTCATTTAGAAACACAACATTAGACTCCATCGCCACTTTTGAAACCTTCAAAAAAATCTTTCTCAAATTTTCCATTCTGAACCCAATTGCTGCAAGGTTTTCCTAATTCTTTTCTTCTTCAATTTAACCTGCAGAAGGATTTTTCCTCAAGGCTCCGATGTCATGTTACAACCTGGAGAAGCAAACGAGGAGTGCAAACTCACTAGGAAACCTTTTGGTGTAAGAAGGCCCCAAGTACAAACTGATTACTAATGAATGGTCTGACAATCCTCAAGGTGCGAAAAGAATATGACTTTACGTGGCATATCTCCAAGTAGATATCAGTAGTAAATAGTAGTAAAAATACCAATAAGATGCAGATGCTATACTTGTAGACCTAAATATCAAGGCTGGCACAGCGGTGAAATCAGGTGAGGTTTAACTGTTTAACCCGATGTTTCTGATGCAACAAAAATAGGGTTTAAGTCGGTTTAATTCGATTCTAATGAGATGGGTCCGATTACAAGTGGAAGTCCCTATTAGAGACTTCCACGTGTCACTTTTACTCGATGAAATTATTTCATGCGAGGTCCACGTGTCAATGATTAAACCTTCCCAAAATCGGGTTTTAATGCATTAAACCATCAACCCGATGGATTTCGCCATGATTTAATGGTTTTATCCACCCCTACTAAATATGCATTGTAAGATGGTAGGATGTAAGATGTATCCATCAGCTAAAAACTTGAAATGATTATCTGACTTGTGCTTGTTAGTTGATTTATGCTTGCTTTCATGAATCATATCGTTAATGATGTGAAAATGTATTACATACAGCTGCAGAACAGGATTTAGTTTGGACTCACTGCACTTCAAATTTGTATGCATAACAAGCTTTAGACTACCCCTCTGTCTTTAGCTTCACGAGTGAAGCTATCTGCCTTACAAGAAGAAAAAAAACATTCGAGTTTCTATATATATATTTATTTATATATTTCCATAATTATGATCTATTACGCTATTACATTGCCCAAAGATATTTGAAAACGGATTCAGAAACATATTCATTCCTTTTTTTTCAAGAGTTCTGTTGTTCAAAGAAGAAGCAGCGTGAATTCGTTTTCTCTTCCATGGGATTGTATTGTAGAGTAGCGCGTCACGCAAAACATCATGCTGGAAGCAACTAATCCTATAGGCTATTATCGAGTTGAAACATTTATATGTTGTTCAAAGATATAACAACATTCTCTTGGATAACATTGATAAACTGTTTCATCCAAGAATTGATGAATGACTTCAACAATAGCTTTAAACAAATGCAGATGCAATACTACGGAAACTGAATTGATGAAGTTTCTTGAATTGTACTGTTGTCTTGTGTTCGTTGCTTGTTCTTGTTAAAATATCATGTAAGCAAATCAACAACTTAGCCAATCTATCATCATTAGGCTAATTTGTACCTTCCGATATTCATTACATATTAACTTTTTATATCTTGAATTTTTTATTTCACATTACACATTCAAATTTTTATTTAAAATGATTTGATTCATTTTTTGCAATGAATTGAATCAAATTAATAATTATTCCTCTTAAATTTTTCCTAAGTAAATATCTTCCTATAATATTAATTATTATTGAAAATTTTAATTTTAAACCAAAAGATAAGATAATGAGATTTCAATACCTTTCTGATGATTCCATTCATCTAAATCGTTTTTTATTTCTGCTGTATATAAAAATGTATCCGCATATTTTCCATTTAAGGAAAAACAAATGGACATCGTCACAAATGATAATGAATAAAAAATTTAATTTTACTACATGATTTTTTATTTAATTTGTTGAAAATTTTTCAAAAACTTACCAACCGACTACAAGATTCACACACCTTTGAAAATTATAGATTTTTCATTAAAATGGTCAATCTTTGATATGAGTATCTATTGCCTATGTTGCAACAATGATTTATGAAATGGTGTAAAAAAAAATTTATAATCAAATTTGGATGCCCTTTATAAATTTTTAATCTGATATCAAAAAATATATAAGTTACATTTTTTATAATTTTAATATATATATATATATATACATACATATGAAGTTTTCAAAGTACTAAACGATTAAGAAAATATCCTTTCAAATTTATAAATTAACAGGAAAAATAATATTTTATTTGCATCATTGATATATTTGTTCTATGATTGTGAGTTGCTCAAAAGAAATTAAGTCTTATCAACAGTTTGATTTCCACATTAGTCTTGCGATCATTATTCAGCTCCATTACTTAGTCTAAATATATCGTATGATTCTCCACTCTAGTATATTTTTAAAGAGTGGATTTAACACAAATAACATGGACAAAAATGTATGTAAATTTTCCATCATGTAAGTCTCAATTTGAATGGAAATCCATAACAAATCCGAATATAATAAAATTTCAAAAGGTAAAACTCAAATAGCCTAAGACTCTAATTTGAATGTGAAGCTAAGTTAAATAAATTTTTGTAGTTGCAAGTACTCATATCTGAAATACCAGCAGTCGTTATTTGAGAACATGGTTTCATGAAAGCAGGCAAGATGTATGCGTGTGAAAATGATAAACATAGTTGCCTCTCTAGATAATATTGCTCCCACAACCGATACTTGGTGTAACTGTTTTTGCACATATCGACCATATTTTAGTATTGTGTTATTAACGTTAAGAGACAATGAAAAGTACAGTCTATCTATGAGAATATGATAAAACTAATATGTTTTGAGTGTATTAGACTGTGTCGATGAGTCAATGCACTTCTAGATTCGATAATAATGATAACTTTAGAAGTATATTCTGATTTTGACAAATTATAGTTCGATGTCACACGTAGCTCTTTCATAATTTTCACTTTCGTTCTTTGGGAGGTTGAGTGCATTTGAGTGCCGCGATGTCCCTGTATTCACAGCTCGTTGTGGTTTCTCAGACCAAAAAAGATGTGTTCTGGCAAAGTGGTTCATGAGTTGAAAAGTCCCTTGTCCACACCATGCCCAAGGTAATATCTTACGAGATTTGTTTCCATGCTTGCACCTGATTCCAATCACAACAAATCCTCAACACGAGAAAAGTGGACAAGTAGACAGAACCTCTTTGAGAAAACCAAGTGAAGACCAGCAATCTTTTCTCACACAATGATAACACGTGAGGACGTAACGTGTGACATCCAACAAAATCTTGAGCCATTTTTACTATCTTCACAATTGTGTCGGATATTTATAAATACTTACATTCGAGAAGGCGATGTTTATTATGAGTAGAAAATCAATTTGAAAAGCCTCTGCCCATTTCATTGATAAATGAGTGGTCTAGTATACAGTGTACAAAGCTCAAGGAGCTAAGAGGGCGTAAAATTCTATTGACACAATTTTGATGAGAAGCTACTCACATCCTAGATTACTCATGACAGCCAAAAAAACATAGGTCAAGGCTTTAACTAGTAAAATTAACTGGTCAAAACCTGACTTGCACGGTTCAAAACTGGGGCCATCATGTGATCTCGTGAAGTCAACACAAACTACGAGAGTCAGGTCCTACAACTAAGAGTGAAGTCAGAGAGTAAGTAATGGCAATGCCATGATGCTTGCAAAAACTGCCACTAGAATTGCTGTTACCCAAATTGGAAACCGCTGAGATGGTCTTTGTCGTGGGCCTTTCACCTGAACATCTGTTCCATTCCCATTTTGAGCAGGTGCCACTCGTGATGCAGGCTTCTCTTGAAGAGGAGACTCATCTTGTTTTTGTACCTGCTCTGCAACTAGTTCTGCAGCTCTCTGCCTCTCGGCGTGCTTCTCGACATACTCTGGAAACATTTTGCGAAAAACGGCACTGGGAAAAAGCACCAAAAAGGCTCAGAAATTGACTACAGCACTGCTGCTATTAGTATAAAGCTGTCACGATGAAAGGTAAACCTATCTAGTTGTGAAGGCTCCTTTTGGAGGTCTGGAGAAAGCAAACCTATGTCCTACGGTTTATTCCTTGTAACGTAAGACGAGTCCCTGGTGAGGATTTTCTAATGCTGCGGTCTATATCTCTTTCAAAATCTTAATTGCATCACTCTCACTTATAACAGTTAAAAGGATAAAAGGATTTGGACAAGATATCAATGTTTTGGTCAAATCTAGATCCGTACTTAGAAACTATAGTGTAAGCTTCATATATACAAGTATATTCGCTACAGGCATCATTCTAAGCAGTGGTACAGAAATTCATGCCATCAACCTTCTCTTTCAAACAAGATGAACACCTTTCAAAGGCGGACTACAACTTTCATTCGTACTGAGATCAGGACAAACCATTAGTAAAATAAATTTAACCACGGACTAATTACCTCTTGCAGTTGTATGCCAAAGAAGCCCGTGCAAGTCGCTGCTTCTCCTCATTGGTGGTGGACACGCTTCCAGTCGTCGGAGTATTATCCATCTGAAGAAAAGAACGATATCTCGACTTCAGAACACAAATTGTTCCACAAATCAACTGAGTTGAATTTTCTTTCAAACCAATATGTTTGAATATATAATAATCGGTAATTTCCTTCCAGCCTAATTTGAAAAACAGTTGTCACGAGCTCTAAATTCATACTTTTCTCCAATGCCAGAACATATGACATGGAAAACCTTGTAGGTATCGAAGACATACATATTTCCTGTACGATGCACACTAGGGCAGATTAAAATAATTCACAACTGCAGACACAACGTCTTCATAAAGCTTATTTACAATCTACTGGCTTAATAAACAACCTATAACCTAATCATGGATTGAGCAGATATTCAAGAAAGCCCATAAAACTTCCAGATAGTTTCCTAGGTGCCCAGCTTCTACAGCCCTCTTACTGACAATAATATATCGAGTAAAGGGTTTATCCAAAAACTTAGTATCTCCCATTTCATATTAAGGGAGGAGAGGAGATGATCACCATAAAGGACAGAAGACCTGTGAGGATACTGCACCGCAACAATAAGTAACAGGAGTCAGTATTGCTCAGCATCTTTAAACATTGTTGTCCCTTCACAGTAGTAGATAAAAACTTCTAGGACCACAACTTTCCACGAACCAAATTCCAGTCACACCAAAGTGCAAAAGAGTCAACATTAAAGCAAGTACCTCGAAACGGACCACATTGGATTCCAGGTCTCTGGATGGACTGCAAAACCAAAGGTTGAACAATTCAGAGGTTGGACACAACTAAACCTTGAACCACAAACCGAACTCATTTATATACATTAATATATGCCCGACATCGCCTGAACACCAAGGACCCCGCGCTTTGTATACTTGGTGCTGGTAATTATAGACGTAGAAGTTAATACATACTGACCAGTAGATATTTGAGGTAGGGACTAGAGTAATCACAATAAGAAGAGATAAGGAAGAAGAAGAAGGTCAGAGTAGGGAACACAAATATATCTCAAAAGGAAGACGTCTCTCTTGAAGTGGAATAAGGTTAGTTAATCTTCTATGCACCACACTCTGCACATGGATGTGTAGCTTTCTACCCTTTGTTCTTTAAGGACGTGTATCAAGACAAGGAACCCCGAATGGAAGAACAATTGTAGCCAGGGGCTCATGATGTCGCGGATAGTAATAGTGTTGTGAATCGTCATCTTCTTTGTCTGGAGGTACATTTTCCTAAATACATTTATAAAGAAGCTGAAATAGGAAGATGAGTCATGCCAGTGAACTATCCTGTCAGCACTGTGATGGCGTCAATAGTGGGCTAAATTTCCACGAAAGTAAAACTACCTTTCCACTGGGAAAAGGATAAAATCAAAAAAGTAGATACTGATAAAATTGACAAACGAAAGAGTCATTAGGTGATGGTTCGACCAGTTCAGATTCGAAGACATTTAGAACCCACAAGTACGAAAGCAATAAAATCCACTAGAAGTGCGCGCGCTAGTCAGAGCTTCATAAAGTGGCCAACAAACGAGTGATTCTTTCCCTTGTCTTAAGGAATGCTAAAACATTGACGGCAGTTTTCATCGCAACATATATTTCCCTTTCTGCCAGCATGACTAACAGAAGGAAGCTCAAAAAGTGACCGATGTGATCATTTTAAAATTGTTGCAGTAATTCTAATGATGGGATCTCTGCTGCTGGCAAATCTAAAGCTGGCAGATCAGTGCAACCTCTATTTCCGAAGATTGAAATAATCGTCTTTGAGAATTTGGCAACTAAATTCATCTACTGCAACTAGGTAAACCTTCTTGAACACCTTGTTATTCTTCGCAAACGTTCTTTTTTTCGGACGTTTGTGGTTAAGGGACCACATTCTCCTAATCTGCTATTGGGTGCAATATCAAACTCGGTCACGGTTCAGAATCTACATGGTAGTGACGAGCCTTTGGCGTTAAGGAGTCAGCCACTTTGGACGAATCCTAATCCGAAGTGGCTTAGGTTTCGGATTTTTATGTCCAGGCTACAAGCTGAGCCTGAGAGCTGCATGCATTGCTCCAAAGTTATATAGGAAATCAGGTCAAAGTACATCTTGCCTGTGATAATTCCCTTATAACTCCCTCCGGTACAGATCAAACGTGTGAGCTGTTGAGACATTGGTAAGGTGATAACAATATATCTGAATTTGGTTAGAGCTCGATTCAAGGTGGGAATTGTTACATTGAGAATTCTGACCTGAAGAGCTTTGCTCAGAATCAACCTCAGGGTTAGATAAAGTGTGGGCAAACTATGGCAAGTGCAAGAGAGTCCACATAACCTGCTGCAGAAGGAGAGACATGATCTGTAAGTGGCTCACATCTATACACTGAACCTCGATAGAGTACATTTGGTCCACAAGTGAAATCTTTACTCGATACACATTAGTGGTCAGAGTGAGAACCCCAAGGGACGTTCAATTGTCAGTTTAGATTGAATCGCAGAGCGACATACCAAACTTTGTCCTTCTCACTAACCTACTCATCGTAACCAGCGATTTGCAGGCTTTAATCTCATCGTGTTTTCCTGTCGAAAAACTGTTCTTCCGCCGAACAAGACTGTTTTGCACAGATCAGGGCATAATTCAACCGGTTGAAATGTATGACTGTGACCACCAGTATATCACTTGTAACTTTTAGACCACTTAAAAACATCCTGATCCCGTTAAGGACTAACTCAGAAAAAACAACAGTGACAAATAGTTTCCACAGTGAAGATAAGATTATACTCCAGCTGGCAACCCAAGAACAATTTTTAGATTCAGGTGCAGTAACAGGGACCGGGGCTAATCCAGAGAAAAGATTTCACTTACAGTCACTCATGGACATGCAGATTCTCTTGTGTGTGGCAAATCGTCCATTTGGTGTAATCATACTGCGTAAAAGAAACATATCGAGAACAGACACATGCGCACACAATTACTGACCCGTAAATCCTTTTTTTAAGCTCCTGCTTAATTTTCGGAGAAACAACAGCAACAGTTATCTGGATACATGCCCATACTCAAACTTCAAAAATCAGGTAAACCGATGAGAACGCTGAGAATATATCGAAAGGGTCACGTACCTGATGCCGGGAGGTTTGTAAGGGTACTCGGGTGGGAACTTGACTTTGCCATGGTAAACACCACCTAAAGGTTATAAAACACATAAAACTTAGTCATCTGTTTGTGGAGAACAAGCGCTGAGCAGCTTGATAGTGATTACATAAACAGGGTACAGATACAGGTTATACACTCAATGACTGAGAGAGTATGTCATGTGAAAACAAACGCCATCACCTAAGGAAACCAAAAATAAAATAGACAACTAAAATAAAAATTTCAATCTGTGAAGAAACAAAGAGAACGGCGAACCTTCAAATGGAGTTCCCTCACTGCCCTCCAAAACATAATCTGCAAGACAGATCCAAAATAGACGATTAAACCATAAAGACAGACTACAAGCCAGCGTCCAAATAAACAAATCTGAACAGGGCAACCAGAGCAGTAGAAACGAAAATTATCGATAGCACATCGATAAATTACTGCTTTGATTGTTAAAAAATTCTCGCTTGACTTGTTCCTGAGCAATGCAAGAATTCGATAGAGAGGCGTGGAGCCTACGACGTTCGTGATGTGCTCATAAGCAAATCGAAACCTAGAACATCAAATGACATTCCCTACTCTTTCTCCACCTTCTTGAGCTTGGGAAGAGTAAGACCCAAGTTGTATGAGAGTTTTATAACTTACGCCATTCCAAAATATCCGTAGGAAGTGGCCGTGCCAGAATATGTGGAGCAGGTTCCTGCACATTCATGAAAAAATCATGTTGATAGAGACTTGTGCTCACAAAAGGGTAGGAGCTTGCTTTTCGATCATAGTTCACTTGAAAATACTTGCTAGGTCCATAATTCGCTTGAGTAACTTACTGTACAACGACTTTGTGAAAAGAGCCAGCCTAATGCCGTTATGATATTGCGGCAAGAGTGACACTCTATCCAAACTTCCAAATTCCCTACTAAGGTGTTTCGATGCAACATTTAGCTGTTGAAAGGTTTACATATGATCATTTCCGATGACTTGTAAATGTAAGAATCGGCCCCACAGATGTATTCATAACAGTTCACACATACAAAGATCAGAGGGAGACAATCACATGTTATAAGATTATCTACCTTGCACAAAGACCTGAACTCTTTCTGAAGTCTCTGCACGCACGCTCTCTCAGCCATTGTCCACTTCCCTTCAGTTCATACAGCTTCGACCCGCAGATCCACAGACCACTTATGTGTCACACCGTAGCAACTGTCGGATGCTACTGTCACGAGAACTGAAGCCCAAGACAGTAACCGAAACGAGAACAACCGGAAATCGCTAAATGCAACGATCAGGTAACTCCTCACTCCACGATCCACTCTTCCACAATCTCCTCGCCAACCCTATCGAATCTTCTTCTCGAATCCAGCGAAGACGCCTCCTCCTAACAATTACTACCCTTCACCACTTCGCCAAACCCTTCATCCACTGATATCAACCCTCTCTAAACTCGCGCGATGACGGCAACCTTCTCCTCTAAACTCCTCTCTGTGGAAGAGAAACCCCAAACCAAAGTAAGACACGGAATCCGCCGACCACCACCACGCGCTGGAATGAAACCCGATGAACCCAATCGTGGACTCGTTCTCCCACTCCCACCACCACCACCGAGCCTAGGCCTCGCAACCCCGACTACTTCCCCGCCTCTCTTCCTTCCCCACGTCGAAACAAATGATCACACCAACACCAACACTGACAGTCGAGCCCTCCGCCCACTGCTTCGAAAGGGAGCACCCAGAGATGGCAACGACAACATCAACAGCGGGACGACGAAGAAGCGCAACTGCACCTGCAAAACCAAAGGAACGAAGCAAGGCACAAACAACAAACCGAGCGATCGAGTCGTCGTCGTCGTCGTAGGGTGCTCTTTCCTCTCTGACCGACTGACGACAGGCACAGGCACAGGCACACTCAGAGGCCGACAGAGCCACTCAGACCTCGTCGCCCTTCTCAGCCCCACGAAGACGAAGACTCAGACGCAGCAGAAGCAGCAGCAGCAGTGCACAGACGGCGAGCACGACGGACGAGCGAGCGAGCGAGCGCAGAATGAAGGAGCTGAATGCGAGGGAATTTCTCCGACGGGCTCCTGTTCTGTGTCCAACCGGAGCCTCGGTTTCCCAGCACGGGGCCCTGATTCTGCGCCACGTGGGCCGCCAAGATTAGTGGGACCCTATTTGTTTCTGCTGCCACATCGCCCCTTGCGACGTGTACTCTCTCGATTGGACCGCGCCCGTCGTACCGGTCATCGGTCTCCGTAAAGCGGTGGAGGTGGCCCGGTCACGGATGGCGTGCGGAGCTCCTCCCTTCCGGTGAGCTCTCTCTCCTTTCCGGCGAGCCTCGGAATGAATTCTTCAATTCCCATTTTCGAGGAAGACGACTTTTACAGATCCGAGCTCATGGAGATATAAAGTGATTGTAATTAAAACAACTAAACCTTTGCTCTTCTCAATTGTATATGTTCACCGTATCTCCAATCTAAAACATAAGTCAACGGAAAATTGGTCTGTGCTGTGCAATTTGATAGGTTGAGTATACGTTCGTTTCATATCAAAACATGTTGTTTTTTTTTCATATCACATGGTAATGTAATCACATCACATTATCTTGTACTTACATAAACACTTGTACTTCATCATTTCCAACCTCGTGTATAGATAATTCTAACAGCATGTAGCAATTTGAGCACTAGAATATAAAGTGTTTATTTGTTTTGAACTAGGATAACAACATCGGGTGCTGGATAACTTCTTCTTCGTTAGTGACACACATGTCCACATTCCATGCCATTAGACCATTAAAGTAGCTATATTGTTAACCGCGTGGAACGCACCCGAGACGTAGGCATCGGCATCACCATGCGATGAGGAATTAGACATGTAGTATTTTGTACTTCCAAGCAAATTTCACAAAAATCATGACATATATGACTCACACATATCAAACCGTTTTCAATCCTGTTTCCAGGTAACTTGTTATACCGAACAATTGCATGTTTTGTGATTTCCAAACCACACCATCATGAATCTCTAACATAGCAAAATCTCACATATTTGTAGAGAGATATATATATATATATATATGCTGCAGTGCAGAGCAGCATGATCATCGCTTGTAAACCAAATCAACAATGTAAAAAAGTCAAATGAGATTTGATTTATCTCCTCTCTTGTTTTATAGCTATTTATATAAGTGTTATAAAAACTGAGTATGTTTTCAATTGACATATATATTAATTTATTATATATACCTTGAAATTTTTTCCATTTGATCCTTGCATTGTTACAAATGGTGACAAACAAAATATTTTTTTTGATTTCTGACAATCAGTGATTTGCAATTAAAATTTGCCTACATACATGAATTCAAACAAATTGTCAATTACTTTTTTCTTCAAATATACAAACTCCTCATAAGTTCAATATACATTGATACTGTGTTATATATCACTATCAAAAAATTGATGTTTATGTGCTATTTGAACAAAGTTGTAAGAAAATACAAAAAAATTAATTTTATAAATTATAAAAAAAATTTAAACAAAAAAAAATTAACAAAAAATATCATTTTCTAACTAAAGAGAAAAATTAAGATATTTAAAATATTTAGATATTTAATTTTTAAAAATATATGAAAATCAAAAGATAAATTTTATAATTTGAAGTGTAAAAATTAATAAATTAATTTTTACTTTTTTCTATTTTATTTTTTTAAATACATTTTAAATATTAATCACTTTATTTTCCAAATTTTAACAAAAATTAAACCTTTTTACTAAGAATGTGAATTGATGTACTTGTCATTTATTTGTACGCACTTTGAACATAGTTGCGCAAAAAAAATAAAAAAGTTTTAAAATATGCCTAATAATATATATATATATATAATATATCAAAAAAAAGATCAATCTAATTGAGATATTTGTGATATCTCAGGGGTACAATCTAACTAATCGCAGTTGTATCTTGAAACTTCTTGATTGGGTTTAGCTTCGCCAAAAGTTAAAAAAAAAATTTAAAAAAATCAAATTTAATAATTAATTATTAATTATTTCAAATAATTGTGATTTTAATTTACATAATTTCATTATTTTTAATACGAATATAAACATAAAAAAAAACATTTGTTTTCAAACTTTATTTATGATAATTTTTTATTAAGTTTTATAGAGCCATGGTTACTTTACATTTCTTTCATTAATAATATTAGATTCAAATAAATGTTTAAAAAATTTTAATATTTTTTTTTGAATTACATAATCAGAGCATTTATTCAAATTAAACCTAAAGATTATTCAAAGATGTTGTACTATCGCGATCTCACCAGGTTTTGTGCAAGGTTTTTTTTCATTAAAATGGTATTGCTCGACTGAGTCACATGGATCAGCGGTTAGTTTCCTAGTTGTCAGTATCGAGCACTCTTTCTTTATTGAACTCTCTATGCACCGCTGAGTGGATATCATCGCGTCGATCGCTCAATGCCATCCTGCGACGAGGTACATGTTGCTTTGTGTTTGTGACTCATGGGGTCTTTACAAAAGCGATGTCAAGTACTGTTCTCGAAATCGCGTGTATGAAGGAAGTAGAACCTCCGATCTTCAGAACTGGTACTCTCTCGCTTTACAAAACGCCGAATGACCAAGTAATAAAATGATGTCTTGTTTTAAATGCTTGATGACTTGGCGCTGAATTGGCATCTACATGGAGGATAATAAATGCAATCCATGACCATATTCCAAAAACACCTCTCGAGATATTTTAGCGATTTGGGACAGATGACCATGTGACTCTCATTAAATTCTCGTGGAGGAGAGTATTGGAATATGGTATACTATTTTGCTTGAGCATATGGATGGGAGTACTCTTGGTGTAGGTAGAATGATGGAAATATCTTGTTGAGAGAATTGATGCGGGTGAAAAAAAATTGTCGTAAATATTTCAACAGTGTTGAGAAATGGAGAAATACTTCCGTGCACAAAAGTTGAAGTGGTATAGAAAGTAGATTTCGAGCATTCAACAATCAGATTGTTGTTTTGAAGAAGACACCATGAATACTTTTGCGTCTTTGAGATTAATGCCTCAAAATGATCAGATGGATAGATCGGGCAGTCTGGCTGAAATTGACAAATTGTTTGATTTCACGCCCAAAGATTTAGACTCTCAAATCCAATTTCGGAGCTTACTATATGGTCATTTTTCACAACAACGTTGTCCAAGGAGTGAGAATGCAGCGTTCAATTTCTGGTGGAGTCAGCCACCGCCAGCGATTAATTGTACTCCTACCTTGAAACCAAGAGTTACATCAAATCTTACTTTCCCCGCAGAATCTTCATTTCATGAACCACACTGCAAAAATGTACAAAAATCAACCAAACGTGACATGGGAGTTCATAATAGTGGAAAGTTTCGTAGGAAGACAACCAATTGGAGGAGCAAGCAATGGTTGAGACTTTGAAGAATCAATACAAAAATTCGAAAGGTTCACAAAGAAGAAAGAAGCAAAATACTTCCAAAACGATGAGAGGCAGTAAGAAGAAGGCGAAGCAGGTGGTGGTTTTGGACGAGGATGATGATCTTAACAGCAAGGTTCCTTGGTTTAACAAAGAGACGAGAACTTTAATTTCACTAAAACAAGAGATGGAACCGGAGTTGAAAGCAGCTCATACAAGCAAGGTAATTTCAAGCAATCTCATAGCATGTGTTATTTCTCGTAACTGTACTTGCATATAAGCATAGCAGACATGAGTTCTAGTGAAATTCATTCAAGAGGTTTACTGCTTATCAGATTCCTAGAAAGTTTAACCTTTCATAGTTACCAGTTGACTCGGTAAATCTGGATGAAGTAAAACTTAGGGTTCGATGTTGTGAACGAGTATGCGAGTGCTGATTGACGACATAGAACTTTAAACTCTTTTCTTTCCTTTATGCAGCAATAGAGTTTTACATTATATGTGATGTGATGAAGTCAAAGACAAACGAATTTTGATGGGTTGTATTTCTGGGCAAGTTATAGTTTATGTACAGATTCTTAATTATACTTAGTTTCCAAAAATTTTGCTTAATTTCTTTCAATATGATTAACTCTATTTGGTTCTCAGAGAGAGAATCTATAGCTTCTGTGGTTTGTTTACAAGATCTCGGTTTATTGAACTAAGTTGGTCGGATAGTCAGATTGACCTATGTATTTGTTCTGATGGTCCGGAGTGAATACTTGGATCAAGTTGCAGAAAAAAATGTTGGTCAGTTCCACCAAGACTACAGAAGCTTGTAAGAAGTATTTAGCTGAGTTCAGTAAGTACAAGAAAGACAAGTTGCACAATGTTGTAAGTGGTAATGACTGAAAAATAACATGTAAGTTCTATGATGAGCTCGACCTGCATTCTAGAAATTCTATCCGTGTGAAGAAGTCTATTCATGCAGATGCATCCGGTAGTGACAATCTGTGTCCAATTGAAAACGATTCGTTTCTAGGCAAATCTCTCGATAGGACTAACAATTTAGAAAATGTGGAGTACTCTAGTTTGAAAATAACAATTGCTGTCGAAGGACCACCTTTGAAACCTTGACCAAAGAATAAAACGACTCTCAAACAAGGTCAAGAGAGAATGTGCTCTATCTTGGAAAATTTAGTTGATGCAGTTGCAGACATAGGGAACAAGATAGAGAAGAATGAATCTTGATTAGATTCTTGGGACATGTCATCTTTGATGTCTCAACTTATCGGCGCTATGCAGGGAAAAAGTAGCTCTTATGACAATTGACATATTATTTTCTCGGGTATTGAAATTTTTTTCTCATATATATATATATATATATATATATTGGTGAAGGAGTGCAGTAGTCTTATGTACTCAGTGAAAGCTAGTGTTTTGTGGATTTTTAATTGAAGTAAACTTTTGAGTATGATTTTAAAAAAGTAGCAGTGCCAGATGACTCCGTATTTATTGACGAATGACGAAACAGCCCTGCCAATTGTAGTCGGGCATAACCTTCAGTATAGGCTGTTACTTCAGTGGTAGCATATATTTAGTCACAAATATTAGAATTCAACATAC